AATATAGTGTTATTAGCTTGAGCAGTTATAAATCCATTGCCATCCTTACTCTAACTTAATTCTTTTTTTTTAATTTAAATTTGTTATTAATTTCACTGAAAATTTACAGAGGCTTTGGATTTCCATTCATTCATTGTTGTAGATAAATCAGTCCTACTTTTATACAGTGGTCAGAGAATTCTTAGGTGTGGGAGAATATGGCGATTAGATCCAAAGGTATCATTATCTCCCTGTGCTTCTAATGATCCTTGCTATATTGAAAATCCTCAGTGCTACTGCTGCCACAAGGTTACTTAAAAAAGGCAAAACGAGACCCACAGTTAATAGTGTTCGAACTCTAGCAACACAGGCTATGCCATCATAGTCATCATAGGTTTTACTAGACTGATAAATATCATGAATACATTACTTTAAAGTCATAATTAGAACACTATAAATTCCCTGAGAGTTTTTACTCTGTAGGCAGTTTTTAAGTCAATTTCATAAATTGCATCTCTCATTCTACTGAATGAGACTCATAGCGACCTTATGTACAACAGCCTAAACCCTACTTTATCCTGTGCCAATCTTACTGTCTCCAACACAAACACCCCCATTACCCCAGGCACTGAATGGAAAAAAAATTAAAGTGAATTCTTTGTGCTGAAGGTGAGTGAAGTTCTGGGCCACAGTGCAACTTGCATTCTCATTTTGTGTAGCAATAAAAAGACTTAAAAAAGAGAAACTTTGATAACCACTTGCCCAAAGACTCATCTATAAAGCATCAAGTGTATATTAAACAACTATAACACTCATGGCCTTGTGGTAGGTACAACTGAACACCATGCTATTACGGTAAATATGACTGAAATTATACCTTAAGGGTATGATGAAAGGAAAGTTATGTACACAAACAGTTAAAGTGAAAAAAAAAGCATACTGGCATGATGGTGAAAATAATAATAACACGTAATTATTCAAAATGGTTGACTCTGGAGAACATTATGCTGAGTGAAATATCCCAGTCACAAAAGGACAAATATTACATGATGCCACTGTTGTAGA